CAAAAAACCTACCTTTAACATCCCAAACATCCACCATCCCCCCGCCAACCTTCTTCGCCTTCTTCCTACCCCCACCCACTACCACATCCCCCGCCTTCCTCTTCTTGACGATCCGCTCCACAGCCGCCAGCTGCGCTTTGGACACATTCCGCAGCTTGGGCCCGGTGGTCAGGCGGACGGACGACGCCGCGGTCTTCCGCGAGGCAATAGAGGGGATTGTGGAGGCTGGGGTGAGGATTTGGTCGATGCGGAGCTTGCGGTGCTTTAGGGAGGCCTTGACTGAGGTGGGAGGGGGGAGCCGGTTAGAAGTTTTGGTCGGGGGGTCTGTTGATTTCCATTGCACGCCTCCCAGACGGGAAAACTCAACTCTTTTCATCTCCCGTCGTGTCAGTGAAGAAAAGCGCCGCATCCTTCTTCTCATGCACCTTCCCGCTGCAGAACAAAAGTGGGGATCAGCGGGGCGTCTTACAAGAGGACATTTCCAACAGGTCAATTCTCGCAAAACGAACCCAAGCCTCTCTTCAGTCCTCAGCTCGTCCAGCTTCTCCTCGACGTCGCCAACGTCGACGTTCTTGCGCCATGCCTTCTTGCCCTTGCGGCTGGGCTGGGCGAGCTTTGGTGTCGTCGTCGCTGGGGTCATTGTTGTGGTGGTGGATGTCCTTTCTGGGGTTTTTTTTTTCCCTGGCGGCTGGTCGGAAGGTTTTGCGAACGACGCGGACCGTGTTTTTTGCGGTCGAACATTTTCGGACGTTGTCTGAGGACGCGTGTGAGCCGTGGTTGTGGGTTCGTGTGAGCCGTGGCTTGCGGTGTCTTGGAAGACGCGTCTTGCCAGCACCTCTTTCTTGCCACAGCCCGCGCCCTTTCAACACACCAATCCCCCGCTGCCCGCAGAGTCCCCGCCCCCAACCCGACTATTGGGGAACCTGTCGCCATGTCCCTGGGTGAGGAAGAGGGTGCAGTCACGGTGCTGCGGAAGGGTGCTGGGGTTTGGGCAACCCTTTCTCCTCATCCACCCCGCCCAGTCACCAAACCCACCCTCAACGCTCAAAATCCAAACTCAACCACCCCGCTCCCCTGAGCCTCATAGTGCAGCACACTGCTCTCCCTTCCATACCCCCCCCCCCCCCCAGGTTTGCAGAACAATCCCACATGAAGCCAATTCTTAAACTCTCACGCACGAAAACCGAGCCCTCCCCAGCCATGTCGCGATCATGCGAGAAGCCCAGGGGTTGATTCCCTGCAGCTCCATTCCACTCGAGCTACATTTCGTTATTTTTTCTTCCTCCCACTGGTTGCATTACAAGTCATGGCGTCTTGCCTTCCCTTGCGCACCCTCTGGTGATCCTCTCTGGTGCGGTCCAAGTCTTCCTGAAGGACAACGCGCCACACGGAACCCTCGTCTACAGTGAATCCACCTTTTCAGTTTTCAAATTCCGAAAAAACGTCAATAGGGCAGGCATAGTGCTCGCTTCGCATCCGCAGAGGAAGCCCAGGGTCCAATCCCCTGCTGCTTAATGAGGTTGGATGAGTTTGATAACTTAGATGGAAGGGGTCTGTGATTTTTTTTACTCCTCTCTCGTTTTGCCTGCAACACCTAAATAAAGTCAAGGTAGTGCGTCTCTTTTCATCCTACAAGAGAATCCTGCAGCCCTTGAACATCCGAACGCACCCATAACTCCCGAGTAGCGAAAAAATGCTATCGCCAAAATACTATACGCCATCACAAGTCATGGCGTCTTGCCCTACCTCTGGGGTTCATCTCTGGTGACTCGGTGAGCACCCACCAAGTCTTCCAAAAGGATGACAGCGTGAGGAAACCTTATTCAATATTTGTGGCGATTGAATAAAAAAAATCGCAGCTTCAGATGAAAGGGGTAGTAACTCAGTGGTAGAGTGCTCGCTTCGCATCGTATGTTGGGTATGCGAGAAGCCCAGGGTTCAATCCCCTGCTGCTACATTGGCTTCAGCAGATGTATGTTTTACCCCTACTCTTCGAAACCCCGTATGCTCCATAGAATCACAGCATGAATAGTCGTACTTTTTCCCCAAGGCATCATGCCCGTCCCCTGCACGCAAGCCCAACCCCCGAGGAGTACTGCTTCACGGGGGTTGCGATGCACGAGTATACTATACATGGAATAAAAAGAGAATAAAACACACTGAACCCGGCATTCGCGGGACCGTCCCCCCCCGGCTCCCATCCTACTTCGGTCTCCTCCCAAACAGCGACAGCCGCTTCGTCTTCTTCTTCTCTTTCACATCCAGCACCTGCTGCACAAGCGGCCGTTCGACTTTCTCCTGTTCGAGCACATACTGCGGCGCAGGTGGTGGCGGGAGCGGCAACGGGGCTGGGAGGATAGATTGCGGGCGGCGGGTATCTGGCGGCGGGGACGGGGGCCTTTGCGCAGGGTAGAGTTCCCGCGACGCCTGGCTCGCAAACGAATACCTCCTCGCGTCGAGAGAAACCTCAATCTTCTCCATCTCCCTCGCAAGCCCGTCGGCCTCTTTCGCCTCCTGCGCTTTTCGGAGCATGTACACGCGGCTGAGGCGGTCGATGTCGCGTTGGGCGTAGTTTCTGAGTGGGGGTTCGGCGGCGGCTGGGGCGGAGTTGGGGGTGGGTGGTGCGGGGGTGTCGGGGGCGGGGTCGGGGCTGTAGGTCGCGTATACTTCTTCCTCCCGTGGAGCATAACTTGATGGCGGATAGGGGTCCCCCCTCCATTGTTCTGGGTCCTGTGCAGCCCACCGCGCTATCTCGGACTCTACTACTACCCCGTGGCTTTCTCGTCGTACGGGGGAGACGGGCGAGGGTAGGCAGTTCGGCTCCTCGTATGGGGACGCGACGCGGAGGGAGGCATCATAGCTCCATCTGTGATCGAGCTGCTGCTGCTGCTGCGGCGGCGGCGGCGGCGGGTATGGGGGCGGGTTGTGCGAATACTGTTGAGGGGATTCGGCGTTCCAGCGCGGGTCGGGTAGCGGGTGGATATTGGGGTCGGGTGGCGGAGGGGCGTAGTCGGAGTATCGGCGGGAGGATGCGGCGTAACATGGGTCCGGGCCTGGGGGCGGATTTGACAGGGATTGGCGGTAGAGCCGCGGATCTGCGGGGTAGTTGTAGGCGTCACGATGGGGAGGTTCGGAGTAGGGTTGCGGGTGGCCGTATGGGGCTCTGGGGGTGGGTTGGTGATGCTGATGAGGGGCGGTCGGTCGGGCG